GCAGCAGCAGCAGCAGCAGCAGGTTCATCCTGAGGTTCAATCGACCCAAGAATGAATTAATCTGAGGTCAAATAATCCACCAATCAGTGAATCTGAGGATTAGTCAATCCCAGTTCAACTCAGCAGGGGGCAGAGATGGACGGGGTCTTTTCTTCTGATGCGTCTCCTTTGAGTGTGAATTCTTGTCAGGGCCTGGACCTGGACCTGGACCTGGACCTGGACCTGGAGCAGACAGTTCACGTGGCCATGCGCTGCGTCATGACCCTGGTCTACCTTGTGATCATGGTGGTGGGTGTGGTGGGGAACGTGACTCTGTTGAAGGTCCTGATGAGCGGCGGTGGGGGTGCAGGGCGTGGTAGCGTTCCCAACATCTTCATCAGCAGCCTGGCAGCTGGAGACCTGCTGCTGCTTCTCACCTGCATCCCTGTGGACGCATTCCGCTTCTTCTCCGAGGAGTGGCTACTGGGGGAGGCCGCGTGCAAACTCCTCCCCCTCATCCAGCTCACCTCGGTGGGCGTGTCCGTCTTCACGTTGACAGCACTGAGCGCTGACAGGTGAGGATGACAGCTGTCTGTGACATCATCAGTCATGTGATTGACAGCTGTCTGTGACATCATCAGTCATGTGATTGACAGCTGTCTGTGACATCATCAGTCATGTGATTGACAGCTGTCTGTGACATCATCAGTCATGTGATTGACAGCTGTCTGTGACATCATCAGTCATGTGATTGACAGCTGTCTGTGACATCATCAGTCATGTGATTGACAGCTGTCTGTGACATCATCAGTCATGTGATTGACAGCTGTCTGTGACATCATCAGTCATGTGATTGACAGCTGTCTGTGACATCATCAGTCATGTGATTGACAGCTGTCTGTGACATCATCAGTCATGTGATTGACAGCTGTCTGTGACATCATCAGTCATGTGATTGACAGCTGTCTGTGACATCATCAGTCATGTGATTGACAGCTGTCTGTGACATCATCAGTCATGTGATTGACAGCTGTCTGTGACATCATCAGTCATGTGATTGACAGCTGTCTGTGACATCATCAGTCATGTGATTGACAGCTGTCTGTGACATCATCAGGACGGTGAAGACCAAACTTTACTGTGAGGTAAAACCTTCAAAGATTAATGACAGACTCATGTTTATGTTTGATGTTCTAGTTGGTGGAGACGAGGACG